TTTAGCTATAAGGTCCACGCTTCAGCTCGCAATCGACCACGGGGCCTCCTACCCGCTTGCCGTACCTGTGCTAACACGTAAAAGATATATTGACGATTATACTTTCGGCGCCGATGACAAAATCCTCGCTCGTCAAACCCGCGAACAAGTAGTGGCTCTCCTGGACAAAGGAGGGTTCACTCTCCGCAAGTGGGCCAGCAATTTGCCCGAACTTCTCAACGACATCGACCCGCACGACCACGGCCTCGCCCTAAGTCGAGACATACGCGAAGACGAAAGGTTACAAATCCTCGGCCAAACCTAACAGCTCGAACGCGACGTTTTTCAATTTAAAGTAAAACAGTCAGCCACTCCGGCAGAAACGAAAAGAGAGATCCTATCGGACATCGCAAAACTATTTAATCCGCTCGGTTGGGCCGCCCTCGTCGTCGTTTGGGCAAAGATTCTAATGCTGCAGCAACTGTGGGCGGCAAGATGCTCTTGGGATGAACCCATTCCAGTCGAACTTCTCGAGATGTGGCGATACTATCACCGACAACTCCCGGAAATTGAGAACGTATCTATCCCACGTTGGACTCAGAGCGGTCATCACTCGCTCCATCAAGAGCTGCATGGATTCTCCGACGCGTCAACCAAGGCGTATGCCGCCGTAGTCTACCTTCGAGTCATCGCTGTGGACGGTACCATCACAGTCACCCTGCTGGCGGCCAAATCCAAGGTCGCTCCGATCAAGACGATGACTGTCCCGCGACTCGAACTCTCGGCTGCTCTATTGCTCGCCAGACTCCTGCATTTTATTTGCACATCGCTCGATCTAGACGCAAAAACCACACCAATTCACTGTCGGACTGACTCCCGCATCACCTTAGCGTGGCTGAGTCGCGCTCCAGCCTATTGGAAAACCTTTGTGGCCAATCGGGTCGCGGAGATTAAAACGTTGCTCCCCAATGCAATCTGGCATCACGTTTCCACGAACAAAAATCCGGCGGACTGCGTGTCGCGCGGAATATCTCCCGAGGAGCTCGCGTCAAATACCCTGTGGTGGTCGGGCCCCTCCTGGCTCGCCAAACCAGAAGAGCACTGGCCGACGAGCGACCAACATCTACCACCCGTTACCGCTCTCGAGGAACGGTCACGTCACGCGGTAGTTCACACGACGACAGCTGTAAACTCCTGGGATTTATCGCAACGCTACTCTTTGTGGTCAAAATTGTTGCGGGTCACGGCTTACATTCTACGATTTGTCACGCGCATCCGAACTCGGCAACCGGCCGCACGCGCAGTTTCCCCATTGACGACCCGAGCCGATAGCCTAACTTCAATCGAGATGAATGCATCAGAAGTCTTTTGGTTGCGGTCAATTCAAAACGACGCGTTTCCGATTGAATTGACGTCTCTATCGAAAGCGACTCGCGTTCCAAATTCTAGCTCTCTCCTCCCCCTCAATCCGTTTCTCGATGAGCAGCAGCTTCTTCGAGTCGGCGGCCGACTCCGCCACGCGGACATCGCTGAACAAGTCCGTCACCCGATTATTCTCAAAGATCACCCCTTAGTCCGAGTGATCATTCGCGACACTCATCTGCGAGCGATCCACGCCGGCTCTCAATTGACATTGTCATTGCTTCGCGAAAAATATTGGATCTTGCGCGCGCGATCGCTCGTCCGTGCTGTATTATATAAGTGCGTCGTTTGTACCCGCGAAAGAGCGACCGTCCCGAGCGAGCTGATGGGCGACCTTCCACGAGTCCGAGTAACTCGCTCCGTCCGCGCGTTTGCTCACGTTGGAGTCGACTACGCTGGTCCCGTTCTCGTCCGGACCACTAAAGGTCGCGGCCATAAAGCCAATAAGGCGTACATCTCGGTGTTCATTTGTATGACCACCAAGGCGATCCACCTTGAGCTCGTCAGCGACTATTCAACCAGCGCTTTCTTCGCGGCCTTCTCCCGTTTTGGTTCCCGCTGCGGATTTCCAACGTCCATCTATTCCGATAACGGGACGACTTTCCAGGGTGCCGATCGCGAGCTGCGACTCGCCGCTCAAACCGCCACTGAAGATCCAAACTTCCTAAATCACCTGGCTTCCGAGGGCGGAACCTGGCATTTCCTACCGCCCTCCGCTCCGCATTTCAGGGGGTTATGCCGTCCGCAGCGTGAAATATCATCTAAAACGTTGCATTGGATCCTACACGCTCACTTTCGAGGAGCTTACCACCGTCCTCTGTCGCATTGAAGCCTGTTTGAATT